CTGCCCCAGCCTTGAGTCTGTGTGAGGTATGGTGTGTGCTTAGGATCCTCCAACACCTAGGAACCCCCATACTGGCACTAGCACCTTGGGAATGAGCCCTTCCTCTGTGTGGATGGACAAACCATTGGCTCCTGGCGTTCAGGAAGGGCATGCTGCGGCTGTGGGCATGGCGCAGCCATTGTCCATGGTGGGAGAAGGAAGGCGAAGGGAGGCCCAGCCTGGAAGGGCTGGGAAGTCCCCGTCCCAGCCTGCTGTCCCTGGGATGAGGTGCTGTCCCTCAGCCCTGGGCCTGCAACACAGCCACAGCAGCCACTGCATGGGCCGAGAGCCCCCACAGAGTCGGGCAGTTTCAGGCCCATGCATTGCTGAGGAGGCTGTTGGGAAGATGTGTTTTATGGTGTTTCCTTGAACATAGGATTCATGTGTGCATTGGGGCCAGGGGTTTGGCCATGCCACTGGCCCTCCCCCAGAGCACATGGCATTGCTGGACAGTGGCTCCTGGGACCTGCTGCCCCCCAGTTGGCTTCACCCTTCTGTGATGGCTGCAGCCTCCGGAGGGTCTGAGGGGAGGGTGGCGGGCTCCTGCACCCACTCCCCTGCCTCCCCAGGTACATCCAGACACTGAAGGACCACAGGCCCCGGATCACATGGGACCACCAGGCTGCAGAGCACTTCTTCGAGTACAAGAAGTGAGTGTTGGGGTGTGGGTGGCCTGCCTCAGCCTTGTGTGCAGCAGGCAGCCCTGGGGGTGAGGTGGAGGGGAGCCTAGGGGGCCAGGGGTCCCCAGAACCATAAGCTCAATCGGGCAGGAGGTAGACTGCTGATAGGTGGGAGGACAGACCCACCAACCTCAGCAGGAAGGGGAGGAGGGGCAGGAAGGGGCAACACATGGGCCAGGACGGCCTGAGACAGGCAGGTGGACAGTCCCAGTTGTTTTGCAGGAGCCGCGGCGGGAGGCATGTCGTCTTCTACCCAACTCTGAAGGTGCGTGCACTGTGTGCTTTGGCTACCATGGTGTTGGGGTGAGGGCAGCGGTTTTGGTCAGATACACGGGGATGCAGCAGGCACTAGCCCTCCCCACAATGACCCTTGCCCTCCATGGTAGACAGTGGGACTCAGCAGAGGCTGACTTGCCACCCCGGGGGTCCTGGAGTTTAAATCACACTGCCCCCTGCCCGAATGTCCTATAGGATGGTTGGGGGGCAGGGGGCCCTGGCAGGTGCTGCCACGTCCCTCTGTACCCACAGTCCCTGCAGGTGCGGCTGGAGCTGGCCAGGGAGCTGGGCGTCGGGGTCTCCATCTGGGAGCTGGGCCAGGGCCTGGACTACTTCTTTGACCTGCTGTAGACTGGGCAGCATAGCCTCCAAGGTGGACGTGTACTTTTCTAAGCGATGGAGTGACTGACCAGGTGCAAAATACAGGCCTCTGTTCTGTGTGCCATGGCACATCTACTGCGGTCCAAGGTGGGGGGTGGGGGCCTAGATGTAGTGGGTCGCTCCATGCCCACATGCAAAGGGGGCCCTGCCTCAGGCACTCACTGGCTGCCTGCTGTCAGCTGGGTGGGGTAGGACCTGCAGACCCCGCCGCACACACCCACAATCATGCCTGTCCTACCACGGGCACACAACATGCACAGGTGCCTGACACCTGGCATAGTCATCGAGATGTCTCCATCAAGCCTGGCATGGCTGGAGTGTGGGGGCCATGTTGGAAAGTGGGGCTCAGAGAAGCCAGCCCCACCCCCTCGGACCCTGGCCCTGGGCTGGACCAGCTCTGCTCAGGTGACACAACCTCCTGAGCTGGCCTGGCCACATGTGGAATGTGGTGAGGGGCAGAGCCTTCTCGAAGAACGGTGGCAGCGCCCTTGGGCGGACGCTGGGACAGGAACCGTGGCCTACGAAACGATGCAGCGTGAGGAGCAGCTGACGGGCAGGTTCCAGTGATGTACTGAGGCCCAGACGCTGGGAAAGTCTGAGAACTCTGAAGCTCCGCAAGCCAAGGGAGGGCCAACCCTCATTCTCCCATCCCTGTCCCTCAGCCACGAGGGCTTTTCAGCTCCTCCCAGGTAAACTGTCTCAGGTGTGCTCTCTCCTGCTGTCTCCAAGCAGATGGATCCCTTCATAATGTGCTGGTCAAGGATCTGCCTGGTGAAGTCCTATCCCTTGCCCTGAGCTTCCATGAGGCTCCTTGGTGTCGGGGGCTGGGGGTTCTGGGGGTGGGGACGGGAGTGGGGGAGAGTTTTTAGAGAACAGATGTTTGTCCTTAGGGTCAGGGCCTGGCCCAACTCACAGTAAGGCCTGGTGGGCCATGACAAAAGCCAGCAGGGTCCCCCCAGCCCCCTCCCCAGCTTCAAAAGCCTAAGTGGGTGGGGAGGGCAAGGTCTGGGAGTCCTGGGCTCACCTCCCACTGCACCTTGGTTATCAAAACCCATGCATGGGCACACGGCAGGTGCTGGGGCAGTTGAGTGAAATGCACTGTCCCCATGGGCAGATGGAGTAACCAGCAGTGCTGGGGGGCAGAGGTCAACATCAGAGCCACAGACCCCAGCACACAGGTGATGAGTGCCCCAGGCAGGGTCCTGGGGTGGAGGCTGCAGGATGGGATGGAAGTGACTTCAGGTAGGAGTGGATGGGGCCTTGGGTGGGTCCTTCTAGCTGCCAAGAATGGCCATGGGGGGCAGGGGACCAGGGTGGGTGCTGTGTTCTGGGAACATGACAGAGGACTTTAGCCTAAGGGAGGGTCCCACTCCCTGGGCTTTGCTGTAAATGTGGTTTTCTCTTCATTTCCTGTTTTTTGCTGCCTGTGTACAAGATGCAGTTGGTTTTGGTGTGTTAACTGGGTGTCCCTAAACCTGCTAACTCCATATGTTAGTTCTGGTAGATCCTCTGGAGTCCTGTGGCTTCTGTTGGAGTGATAAGACGGGAATCCAGCTCAGGGCCCACAGCTGGGACATGGCAATCTGGGTCATGTTCTCCCAAGCCACCCTCAGTTCATGGTGCAGGCTGGTGCAGGCAGAGTTGGTGGGGGGGGGGGGGGGCAGAGTTGGGGGGGGGGGGGGGGTGTCACACAGGGTGTCGACACCTGGTGTGTGATGGAGAGATGGTGGGGCCTGGAGGTGGCAGGAATGAAAGGCTGGACATTGAAATTGTGAGTGCAGTTTGGGAGGATCAGACACCCATGCTAGTGAGGCTCCTGGGAGGTGCCCATCCTCCATCCTGAACACCTTTCTTCCCTGTGGCCAGCAGTCCCCACCCACAGTCCCCTTCACCCCCAGTCATGAGGATCCTGTCTTTGAGGCAGTTTGATGCGTTTTAGCCACTTCTCCAATCCTGAGCCCCATGACAGCTGCCCTGTTCCCTATAGCCCACTTTGCAAAATATGTAAGATTAACACTTACAGGGCAGAGTTCCCAGGAACAAGACAGGAACACAAAGATAACAGGGAAAGACGAAGCTGGGCCCCGCGTGGGAGGGCACGGGGGGATGAGGTGGAGAGTAGCTGTCGCTGGCACGGGGCCACCCGCAGGTCAGGGAGGCTCAGGGACACTGCCCAAGGCCTCTGTACCATTTCAAATTTAATGGATTTCTTTAAAGTCTGTGGCTGTGTTCTCTGTGGCAGCACCTGGACCTGTGCACACCCAGTGAGTCTCACAGCAGGCACAGGCTGCATGGGGGGAAGGGTCTCAGGATCTGCCCTGTCCCAGGCCCAGGTACCAGTGTGGACATGGGGGGGGTGGGGAGTAGGCAGAGCGGTGACAGACACAGGGCTGCTGCTCACACACTTTATTAAGATGCACCTGGGGCCCTCACGGCCCCGTGGAATGTGGATTACCAGGTTGTGGACCTGCCTGGAGCACCAGGACCAGTGGATGGGCCTCCAGGAAGCTGAGACCTGGTCCTTCCAGTGTCCCCAGGAGGCTGGGGACCACAGCTCAGCTGCCTCCCCACCCCATGTGAATACTGCTCTGGAGAATACATGGATATAAAAAGCGCCAGAAGCCCCTCCCATCCCCAGCACCACGGTTAGCACTTGGCCACCCCCTCCCACCTGGTCTGGAGACCCTGCAGTTGCTCAGGCTGGGGCTCCAGGCACCTGCTCCTCCCCTCCCTGGAGCATAGCACCAAGTCCTGTCGTGGGAGAAGCGGGTTTGGACGTGATCATCTCCCTGGTGGGTGGCATCCTTTGGCAGAGAAGCAGAGTGGCAGGTGGCCTATGCACAGTAGGTGTCCGCCTTTACCACCTGGCAGTACATGGTCATGGCAAAGGTCAGGCCCAAAATCTGTGGGGATAGGAGGAGGGCTGGGCAGGGCTGACCAGGAGGCCACAGGCCACTGCCTGCAGGCTCAGACCATGAGTGGAGGGCTGTCCTCAGCAGGTACCTGACCCTGACCAGCCTGGGTGACGCCTCCTGCAAGCCTCCCAGGGCAGTGCCTGCTCACTGCAGGCATCAGGTCCACCCAGGGGGTTCTAGGGCTCAGTTCCTAGATGCCCACCTTTCCTGTGGGCTTGGCCACACTGGGCTCCACTGGCAGCTCTCAGGGCCAGTGTGCTAGGCCTTGGGCCCCCTCCTCACCTGGCCCGAGGCCCCTGTGGCCTGCCCCACTGTGCCTGTTTGCCCCATCTGTGACCTGGCTGCAGGCCCCACATGTCTGCACTCCAGACATTGAGTGGGTCTGACCCTCAGGAATTCTGTAGGGGGTTGTGAAGCCAGGAGGGAGTTCAGGGGCTATGGGCACCAGGGGCTATGGGCACCAGGGCCCAGCTGCCACACTGGAGCTGCTGCCTTGGCCCCCACACCAAGCCTAGGACTATAGGAACCAGGACACCATCCTCCATCCACTAGGAGCACACTGCAGCCCATCTGTCCCTGAGATATCAAAGATCACCTCCTGTGGAGGTCATTCCTGACCATCCTGTGAACTGCATCTCTGTTCACAACACTGGCTCCTTAAAATCTCGTCGTTATCACCAACCCACCCCCGATCTGGGCTCTGTGGGGCAGGCCTCTGCTGCTTTGCTTCCTGAGCTCAGGAGGCCTCAGTAAGGGTGTGCTGGGAGTCCCCCGGCCCTGCATACCTGCACCAGTGCTGTGCACAGCCCGAAGACCCCCACAGCCAGCAGATTCTCCTGGAGCCACATCTTCACCGTCTCGTAACATGGCTGGGGGAGGGCAGTGTCACCGCTGGGCCTCCCTGGCCTTCGGTCCCCACCCTCCAACCCCCGTGGGCCCCGAGGAGGGTATCTGCTCACCGCCTTCCACCAGGTGCCGGGTGCATGCAGCCCACAGCTCTCACTGAACTCCAGGCAGCAGGAGTCAGGCACACGTGTGGCATTGTACACCTCGAACCAGTCAGTGTAGTTGGAGACGCCACAGCAGCGGAACTGGAGGGAGTGCAAGCCTCGGGCTTGGGTGGGGGAGCGAGGACACACCCCACTGGCCCTCACCCCACCCTTACCAGGTCCACCCACTGCCCACCCTGGCCTGCGCCTCACATCAGTCTGGATGATGCTCCAAGCGTTGGTGAGTCCCACATTGCCCTGCGTGCCATACAGGTGCAGGCCCTTCTTCAGGTCTTGCTGGGCATACCTGTCAATCTGGGGGTGTGGCGGCGTCAGCAGGCCCCCCCACCGTGCCCTCCAGCCCCCAAAACCAGGTACCACCTCCCTCATTGAGACCCCATGCTCACCCCCACCTGAGCCCTGCTGTCCTGCTGCCTGAAGTCACAACCTGCCTCTGCCAGCCCTCGCCTCCCCCTGGGTCTCCATGGCCTGGGGGGACAGGGTGAGTAGATATGTGTACACGCACTTGTTGGTACAAACACGTGCTCAGACGCAAGAGGGCCAAGAGGCCATGACACCCTAGCAGCTGCGGGCACACCCAGTGTGGATCTTCATCTCATACCGTTCTCAATAAAGGACCCAGGGCTGGGGCAGGGAACGTACAGGAGCGTGGAGGGTCCTGTCATGCCAGAAAGTCAGGAAGCACCCATACACGTGCAAGGCTGGGGGCAGGTCAGTGGGACCCAGGTGCCAGCTGGACAGAGCAACAGTGTGTGCACAAAACAGCAGTGCTGGGTCATGGCCCAGAGCACAAAACACAAAAACAAGCTGTCCTGGTACAAACGATCAGATAAGTAAATGCTCGCCAGAGGGCAGCAGGTTGGCCCAACCCAGCCCCAGTGGAGGGTGGGAGCTACGCTTCATGCGGCAGGCGGGCCTTGCCCCTGGGTAAATCTAAACCCAGGTCGCTGGTCCCCATGGGTGTGGACACAGGGCTCTTGTCCTGCTCTGAGCCTGTGGTGCTCACAAGGGGAGGATGGAGCCCCCACACCTGCAGCTGTACCTTGTCAGTGTAGGCGAAGAAGAGGATGGCAATGGTGGCCTCCAGCAGGAACACGAGCAGCAGCATCACGAAGAACTGTGGGGGGAGGATGGGCTGTGGCAGACTCAGGCAGACCCTGGCCCTTGCCACCCTCAAGTCCAAGGGCTGCAGCGACAAGTCTCTGACACCTGGTGCTGCCAGGAAACCCCTGCCAGATGCCCGTGCCCAGACATCCCCCAGTGTTGCCCCTACCACCCCTGGGACCCTCAGCCTCAGTCCCGAGTCTAGGGACAGTGGCTGTCTCTTGCTCAGCCTCTGAGCGTGGGGGTCCCGGGCTGGCCTGGGCTCCTGTCTTCTACCTTCATCTTCATGGGGCAACCCAAACCCCCAGTTGGGTACAAGTCCCCATTCCTAAGGTCCCAACCTCCAGCCCCTGGCAGGTGCCTTGGGGACACCTCTGTTGGGACATTTGAAATGGATCCCAAACATCACCTGTCCAAGGGCTGTTTCCTCTGTGCTTCATGCAGGTGCCAGCATCCCTGTGTGGTGGGAGGGGGCCCAGCGGGCAAGGCTGGCATGCAGAGGCCCCACAGCCTGAGTCATACCTCTCAGGGCAGCCAAAGTAGGGGGAAGGAATCAAGACCACAAGCCACAGGTAGCCCCCACCTCTGGCCACATATACCTCACCTATACCAAGCACCCCAGAGGCACAGCCCCGAGCTCAGCCCTGGGTGCTCCTGGCCAGGCTGAGCAGACAAAGGTGGCCTTTGCCCTCCACGGCTGCCCCAGCCACATTGCTCTTCCTGTGGGTCACTGATATCCCCAAAGAGACAGCAAAAGCTAGACAAATCGGGGGTCCCTGGACAGGGTGGGCATGAGTGGGCCAGGGGAGCAGACACTGTGTTGTCCTGGGGTCCCCTCTCCAGTCTCTGCTTAGTCTGGGCTCAGTACACAGGGCCCATGCTGCCCCTAGGAGGCTCCCTGGACAGGGTGGGCATGAGTGGGCCAGGGGAGCAGACACTGTGTTGTCCTGGGGTGCCCTCTCCAGTCTCTGCTTAGTCTGGGCTCAGTACACAGGGCCCATGCTGCCCCTAGGAGGCACCTGGTGTTCCAAATGCCAGGTTACCCCTGGGCTTCTGTCCCTGTAGGCCAGGTGGGGCCCACACGTTGCAGCTTCCTCAACTGTCTGAGAAGCTCCCGGCAGGGCTGCGGGGGCCTGGCTGTGCCCCGTGCCTCCCACCCACTGCCTCCCAGGGGTTCCAAGCCCAACTGGGAATAGCCCAAACACTGGTCACCAAGAAAGCTGACACAGATGGGGGGACATACACCCCAGGAAGGGGCATGGAGGGGAGCAGGTCGGCTCCACCAGGGCTCAGAGACCTGAGGGAGGCCCCACCCTGGGCAGGGTCTCAAACAAAGGAACAATTTGAAGCCCCGTGATTTAGGACTTCAGCAGGTTGTGAGCCGTTCACCCACTGCCGCTGCCCCAAGGCCTCTGCTGGGCATATTAATAGGTAACTAGCCTCATCCGGGAATCTTTTTCCTTTCTAATTATCCATGACTAACATTTCTGAGGAGGGGAAACAAATCCCTTCCTGTAAATCCATCTCTGACGCCAAGCCAAGACCGAGGCAGAGAAGGGGGCCATGAGGGTCTCAACAAAGAGTCCCAGGGAGCTGAGAGGCCAGGCCTAGGACAAGGAGCTGGAGAGGGGCTAGGGGGTGGTCAGGATGAGTCTCAGAACAAGCCCAGTGAAGGCTGCATACGTGTGTGCACACATGTAGGGTTGTGCCTGTGCATACATTTATCCGTGTCAAGGGAGACCCCTCCAAGCTCTGGCAAGCCCTCTCGGGGGCCAGGCACTCACAGTGAGCAGGAGGCACTTGTTCTCCTTGAGGGCCCCGATGCAGCCCACGAAGCCGATGGCCATGACGAAGGTGCCAGTCACGATGAGCAGGTTGGCAGCCGACAAGGACGGGAAGGAGGAGGACAGGGTGGCGAAGTTCCCCTGTGTGGCAGCCAACCAGATGCCGACGCCCAGCACACCACAACCTCCCAGCTGACCATGGCCATGGAAAGGAGAGGGACAGGGTGAGATGCTGCACGTAAGCTCCAGGCCCCTGGGACAGAGCCCAGTCCACCAGCCTGAGGCCACACTGCCCAACAGCCTAAGCAGAACCACCCAGAGTCCCCAGGGGGTCCACAGCAGGCCCCTAGCCCACCCTTGCTTGCCCTGATGGCCTTCCAGGGTAGGAATCCTCCAGGGTCGCCAGAGCCAGGCACATCTCCCCAGTCTTTTCCCAACACCCTATGCACACCCACACTCCACGGCCACAGTGACAGGGTGCCTGCCCCTGCTAGAGATGACCCTGCTGTTGAGGTAGCCCAAGACAAAGGCCTAGTGCCTCCCCCAGGCACCCTACCCCCAGGAAGCATCCAGCCACACCCTTGCCTGGAGAAGGGACTGGGTCACCTATGGACCCCAGAACCCGCCTGCAGCCCCCACATGCTGCCCTCAGGTCTGCCAAACACTGTGTTCACTCCCCCACCAGACAGGCCACCTATACCCTCTTTCTCCAATCAGACTTTTGGGTGGGTGGTCCCGAGGATTATAAACATCAGACCCCAGGTGGCCATCCCTGTGGGGCTCTGTGGTGCCCCCAGCTGTCCCCCAGTCACCCCTAGGAGGGGAAGCCCTGACCCCCACATGCTCCTGCTCATAATCAAGTTACAATTTATCACAGCCATGCTTCCCAGCAGGAGCAGAGCAGGAGGGTCTCGCAGGTGTACCTGCCGTGGGCACTCATGGCGGCCTCTGCTGCAACCTCCTTAACAACCACAGCTTTTATTGAATTTCATAATTGCTCATTATTACAAAAATCAACTAAAAAGGAAGCTGGGGGAAGGCAAGGCGGTGGTGAATCCAGAGAGGGCTCTTGGACTGGCATGGTGACAGACCCAGTCTCAGGGGAGTGGGGGTCAGCCACGCTGACCAGTGGGGGCCTGTGGCTCCAGCCCCCCAGCTCTGAGGCCTGGGGCTCTGGCTTGGTTTAGGATGAAACAGAAGAATGTGTTCCACAACTGGGCAGGTGGCGGGCAACTGCCTGGGATGGCTGATGGGCTCTGGGGAAAGGCCAAGCAACTATGGGGGGTACCTGCCCCACTCAGGACTGGCCAGGACATGGGAATAGGCTGGAAAAGCCACCCCTCCACCCTCAGATCACTCAGACCCCATGCCCAGGACAGGCTTGGACCCCAGACTCAAGGAAGCTCACAGAAGGCTCCCCCACGAGCCCCTCATCACCCCACAAAAGCCTCATGAGCCCTGATGGCTGTTCTCACACCCCGTTTTCCAGACAAAGAAACCGGTGCTGGGAGATGAGCTGCCAGGCACCCATATTCTCCCACCCACCCGCCATCTGCCACAGCAGCCCAGCTCTGGACAGGCCTGGGGCCTTGACCCTGGAGGGACCCCAAGACTCAGGCAGGTCCGATGGGCCTCAAGATCCCTGTCTCAGAAGGCCTGGGATGGGGGGATGCTGCCCCCTCCCCATGTGCAAGCTCCCTGGCCCCTCCCCCAACCAACACATCACACCAGGCCAGCAGGGCTGGGGGCTGGGGAACGGCGGGCGGCCGCTCCATTCTTACTAGCTAGTGGGCAGCAGCACACGGTGCGGTGCATTAAGTCAGGCTGGCAGGAGACTGCGATGGGGGAAGGGGCATGTGGCTCCCAGCCCAGGGTGTGGGCTCGGGCCTCTCACTGGTGTCTTGGGTCCCTCTGGGCCCCACAGAGCCAAACTCTGCTGGAGAGCCCGTGACCCCCCCACCTGTCCAGTCCATTCCAGAGCAAACACCAGCAATTCTCCCTGCCCCTGTGTCCTTCCCTGTGGTTTCCTCTGCTTAGCATTTAGAAACAAAACATTTTCTGGATGCTGCTGGCTCAGGGCCTGCCCTGGGAAGCTTTGCTGAGCGTGGGGCCTCTCCCCAGGGCAGGGCAGGTGGCTGCAACTCCAGGTCTGGCACAGGGAAGGGGCCTAGGTAGAAGTAGACAAACCAGCTGCAGGAAGAGGCATCGGCCCTGTGCTCTGGGCACCAGGTTTGAGGAGGGTGATCCCGATGGAGGGGCTTACCTGCCCCTGGCTCTAACTGCACAGTCCCTGGTGGTTCCTGGAAGGGCCACCGTGGAGCTGACAGGAGGCCTCAGTGTGGCACCCAGCTTGGGTGTGGCTCCTGAGCAAACCCAGCCCTAGTGGTGAGGGGAGACTGCCCAGATGGCAGACCTGGGAGACCTGGAGAAGGCTCAGAGGTGGGAGCAAGCACAGCCTGGTGGAGAGTGGCCCAGGAGCCTACCCTGGGGAGGGACGCACAAGCCAGGGGTTGATGTGCCCGGGTCATGGCACAGGTGCCAGGTGATGTGCCAGATTAGGGGGTCTGTCCTCACCTGCAGAGCCAGGTCTGGGACCTAGCCCCAGAGTGGGGCAGGGGTCTGTCAGCTACAGAAATGCCCCCTTTCCTGTGGGACCTGTGCTCCTTGTGTGGGATTGAGATAGGGCTGGGCCCAGCAGTTTCTGGGATCGTGCTGGCCACGGTGCTGATCACAAGCCCAACACCCGGCTCAGAGTGGGCTCCTGCCCTCAAGGAACCAGGCAGCTCCTGGCCCTGGTGGGTCACACCTCAAGCCGAGCACCCAGACAGAGTGGTGTTGGTCCCTGAGCAGAGGGGCGGTGCTGGTACAACGGGGAAGATTGTCATTGAAAACCCAAACTGCCTGCGCCATCCACTTCTGCCTTCCAAGAACAGCAACCGCTCCTGTCAGCAGGAAAATGAGCCATTCTGAGTTCCCCTCGCCCCACAGGGATGCCTCAAAGGGTGTGGGGAGGACGCCAGGCAAAGCAGCCAGCGCCATGCCGGGTGGGAGCCGAAGACAGTCCTGGGCAGGGAGGGACCTACACCCCAGCCCCTTCCACAACTGCCCCAGCCCTAGTGGAAACTTACTGCCTTAATTAACAATCCACAAACATCCTCACCACTTGAGACAGCAGGAAAGAGACACCACTCACTGTCACCCTAACTGTAACACAGAGGACACCAGCCATGCTGCCATAGATGCCCGCACCGGCACATGGCGTCACACACACAGTCACGCACACACTGCCTTGCCTGTGACCAGGTATGCCCCATGAGCCCCCGAGGCTGCCCCAGGAGCCCTCACGTTCCCACAGACCAGTCACCTGCACACTCGTAGACACATGTTCTTACAAAATGCATGCACGTGGTTAATAGAATTGCCCATAATTTTGAAAATGTTTCTGCATACATGCCCCATGAGCCCCCGAGGCTGCCCCAGGAGCCCTCACGTTCCCACAGACCAGTCACCTGCACACTCGTAGACACATGTTCATGTACTTACAAAATGCATGCACGTGGTTAATAGAATTGCCCATAATTTTGAAAATGTTTCTGCATATGCAGCTTTTAAAACATTTTGGCAGGAAAATTACAGCCTCAAAGTGCAGGAAAAAACAGGCCCCATTAGACTCAGAACATCAAAGGCAAGATGAGCCCCAGGAGGCCAGGTGCACCGGGTTCCTCCAGGGTCAAGCGCAGCCAGGGCAGCAGCGGCCGGGGGCCAGGCTGGGATGCCACCCCAACCTTCCAATGTTCCCCCACCCCACCAGGCCAGACAGAAGCCCATTTGGGAGGCAGATCCTGCCCCCACCACCCCGCCACTGAGAAACCCAGCCCTGTCTGCCTCACAACCATGGGGATCCTGGGGGGTGGTGGCTGGGGTGCACCACCTATGAGAGACCTCCCCTGCCTCCCAGGTCCCCATCCCAGCCTTCTTCACCTCTGAGGTCAGCTGTGGTCGAGTCCTCCCTGTCTCCCTCCCACCCACAAGCTCCCACTTTGTCCACTGCCCACCATCTGTCTCCCGTCCCACCCAGCCCAGTGCCTGCACAGGATTGTCCTTTGACTGATGTCCATCCGGCACAGCCCGTCGGCCACCTGCTCACCCTGCCCCTCAGCAGTGACGGAGCTTCCACTTTGCTAAAGACCGTAAGCCTGTGACAGCCCCTGAGAGGTCTCAGGCTGGGTGGGCAGGCACCACACGGTGACTGGGCTGTCCAACATGGTCCCCCCTCCAGGCCCCTGGGTGAAGGTGCTGGCCGGCTCTCTGTCCCTCCAGCCACAGGACTCAGTGTGACAGATGGCAGGGCAGCTGGCCTCGTCCTTGGCATGGGATAGAGGATTGGGTCCCTGCAGGGGCCCAGGTTGAGTCCAGAGGTGGCTGGCACAGCCTCAGGCCTTCCGGCCTGGTGGGAGTGTAGCCCATCTTGGCTGGGACGTTTGGTACCCAGGTAGAATGAATTTGTCCACTTAGCTGGCTGTAGCTCATTTCCTTAAATGCAAGTGAGTGCCAAGCATGTGCACTGCAGGAAATGGTCAAGATACCCATGTCCCCACGTCATCAACCACCCTCTGTTCACTCACCCCAACCCCAGGGGCCCCCCAAGGCTCAGAGATGAGGAGACTGGACCCGCTCCACTGACTGAGGACCCACCCTGAGGCCAGTGTCCAAGGGGGCTGAGGGCAGAGCAGCCCTCGCCAGCAGCTCACCCTCCCAGGCACCAGAGCTGGGCATGGCAGAGTGAGAAGGAGTTTGTAGAGCCAAGGGGGCACCTGGGGCAGAGACTGTGACCACGGCAGGGCTGCTTAGGAGTAGAGAGGAAGCAGCCACTGCCAAGGTGGGAGACAGGGGGATAGGGACTGGGCCTCCCTCTCCACCTCTGCTTTATGTCTAGAACGTTCTGTCCACATGGAGCTCCTGCCCTGCCACCAGGCTGGACTCTGGGGACCTGCACAGACTTGGCCAGGACATGCAGACTGAGGCCCCATGGCGGCATAGCTGGGCCACCGGGTGGACAGATCTGACACACCACCCAGGAGCTGCCTGGAGCCCACACTTGGTCCCCCTTAACCAACACTGCCACCTCTGACCCTTTAGGGAACCACAGACCCCCCAACAAGCAGACACAACTGTGTCTTCCAGTGT